CTTTCCCAGAATTGTTTTTAAATTGGACCTTCCCATCTGTAATTGAAGTACTAATTGACAAAGGGTTACAGCTGTTTGAAGACAAAGAACTTAAAACAAAGATTTCTTTAAGCAACGCGGGCTCTAGTCATCACAAATACTAAAAAAATGCTTCCCAAGAATTTAACATTTTTGCAAACCAAATTAGCATTGAGAAGACATCTGCTCCATATATATTAATGATCTGATAAATGCTCCACTCTCAGAAAAATTAATATTGCAAAATCACATCAATTTGGAATTGTTCATACTTTATGGTGTGCAGACCTTATAACCTGGTTTTTCTGAGATTTTAACTTAACCGTACCTGCATGATGGGTCTCAGATGCAGAATTATTACGATTTAGCAGATTCTGAGCTTCTTCATCGACAACATCTAAAAGATATTGAATAACTTGATTGTGATCATCCTCATCATAAGAATCTTCATCTTGGACTTCTGCTTTAAAGAAAACTTTAACATTAATATTATTGCTGGGGAGAAATCAAGTTAATTCAAAAAATTTCAGTTAAGGATTGAGTGTGATTTTCTCTTGGGAATGGATCTATTTTTCTGATGTGCTATGTGTGAGTTTTGTATTACATCATCCTAGGGTGACTATGTCAGGCCTTGGCCCAAAGACGAGATACAAAGAGATCCAATTAAGTTTAATCCTTTTATTTGCTTACACCCAATGGACAGCGCCTTGTCAAACTAACGCTATAACTTTCTACCCTACTAGATACATCTTGAGAGATTCTAGGGTGCTGCTGCCCCGAACCCCTTCTCCCCTCTGCCATTCAGCCCGGGGTTAGTCTCTTAATTTGGGCCTCTCTCTGAGAAAGCTCTGTGTCACCAAAATTCCCGCTCCCCCTGCCTCTCCAGGTGCAAATTTCGTAAGAGATGATTAAACTTCTATCCCTAGAATTCTTAGCAAGCATGACCATCACTGAGAATTCTGGGAATTGAAGTTTGCACATATGGTTGATACCCAAGCTGACACTGTCTGCAGTACCAAAGTTAATGCATATAACTATATGCATATAATTAAAAATTTATAGCGACAACATACATTAATACAGGATGAATCCTTCAAAAACAGTATCATTCTCATCAGTTTATTTATTATATTTTTATCCAAACCTTTATAAGTAACTCAAGGAGGGAACCAAATATACAGTAATATTCCTTCCTCTTCTTTTTCCCCACAACAACCACCTTGTGAGGTGACTTGTCTGAGAAAGAGTGACTGGTCCAAAGCCACAGGACTAGAATTCACAGTCTCCCAGTTTCTAGGTTAGCATTTTAATCATTATACCAAACAGGCTGTATAATCTGGGTGCTATTCCAGAAAACTCTGAAGACTTAGAAAAATAGACAATCTTATCTCAGTGTCATTACCTTTGTTGTTGTTATAGTTGTGAAAATCTGAGGCCTGGAAAATGGTATCACTTGGAGATATTTCTTTAGAGATAGGATCCTGGGTTAGACTTCTCAGTTGGAGACTGCTGTTTGTTTCGCCATTAATCTAAGAAGAACCGAGACAAATTAAGGTTTTTTAAACTGAAAAATTCTTTGAGATATAGGATTAATTGCTCCCACAATGAGAAGGATTTAGAAGATCCATTAGCTTGCTTTCAAAAAAATCTCAATTAAACCCTAAGAACTACCAGAGTTGGGAAGAGCCTGTAAATGCAGAACCTCTTTAAAGCAGCTATGTCTCTTTTCAGAGCCCCATGTGTGACTGAAATAAGACATAGCTACTTGCATGAGCTGAGCATTAAATGGGTGACTTAAATCCTGAAAATTGTGTCGGTGTATCCAAACCGAGCAGAGAGGGCTGTAAAGTACTGTAAAGCGGTATGTATGTAAGTTTAAATGCTGTTGCTATTTATCCATCCATTTCCCTATCTTTACTAACATTCTACCAAAGTGCACATTTATCTTATTTGACAACTATCTTTTTACTTTCTATATGTTATGTTACTGTATGTTATACAATTATATAATATCTTTATTCCTCATTTTGCAACTTTCTTTTGTATGAGATTTTTCACATCCAATCATTATACACACACACACACACACACACACACACACACACACACACGTGGCATTTTGCAACATAACTCTTTGCATTGTGTTCCAAGAAGTTTCCACACCCTTTTATGTCTGTTTTCTATTTATTTATTCCAGTCATTATTTTCTTTTGTATACAGGAGTCATACTTTCTCTTCCTACAATTTTTCCCCCTTCACATTTTTTCTCTACTTCTTTGTAGAGTTATGTCTATTTTTTTTTCTAAGATCTATTCTTGTAATTTCCAAAAACTGATTTATCCACGTACCAAGCCTCTTATCTCACTATATCCACCACTAATTCCCTCTATCTTTCATTATAAAAACCAAGAACAGTTATGGTTTTTGATTTATTCCACTGCCATTTGTATGAACTAATGAATTTATGATTAAATTACGTATCCTAAAACAATAATTTTTAAGCAGATGCTGTGACCATTCTCATTCATAGCTCAATTACCTTTTTGTACATTTTTGTCTTGTTCTCACTCACCCATTCGTATCATATAACAATATATATTTCTGAATCACATTAAATCAGAGTGTGGCACACTTTTCTTCCCAAACTTATTATCAGCATACACTAGACGTATAACATGCAATAACTACCAATGGATAGATTTCTGCTTTCATGTACATTTAGTAGCCTTTTCATTCATGATTAAATCTACATTTCACTGCATGAATTCAATTCCAACCCAAAAGATCATTCAGCTTATTATCTCCATATTTCCTTCAGATGTAAGCACATCCTTTCTCTTAATTTCACAGATGAGCAACATGTATAGGCAGTCCTCGACTTACAATAGTTCGTTTAGTGACCGTTCGAAATTACACTGAAAAAAGTCACTTATGACCATTTTTCACGCTTACAACCGTTGTAGCATCCCTATGATCAAAATTCAGACACTTGGCAACTGGCTTGCATTTGTGATGCTTGCAGTGTCCTGAAGTCATGTGATCACCTTTTGCAACTTCTGACTAGCAAAGTCGATGGAAAACCAGATTTACTTAACAACTGTGTTACTAACTTAATAACTGCAGTGATTTAATAAATATGGCAAGGAAAGTCATAAAATGGAACAAAATTCACTTAACAAATGTCTCACTCAGCAACAGAAATTTTGGGCTTGATTGTGGTCAAGGACTATCAGTAATTTCCTTCTGACTGATCGTAGCAATGAAATATTTCTCTCTTTTCCAGTTAATTATACCTAGTCATTCTTTACTCATCATAGAAAGCAACAAGCTGGTTAACTATAAACCCGAATGAGCTCTATAATCCAGAGCTTTCTAAATGTGCCGTCTTATTTTGCTTTTAATGGTGTTCAGTGTATTTCTTTGAAGTGCTTTTGACTGTAATTTTATAATCTTAAAATTCATCATTGTGCTTCATGTTTTGTAAGTGCAAATTATATAAATAACGTTCTTGATTACTTACTTTGCAGATATCAGGTACCTTTTCTGTTTTGCTACCAGGTTCTCCCTGAAAATGGCCTTTAAAAAAAGAAGGCAGGCGAGAAAACAAGATTGGTTTGTTATTATTTTTAACTTTATAATAACAGACAAAACAATCTGGCATTGAAAATTATATTGTTTCCTTCAGGGATCAAATAAACATTGTCAAATGTTTGAAATATGTCTGCTCCCTAACCCCAAACTCTCATTCAGATCAAACTTATTGAGTAATTATTTATATTGGCAAAGGAGTTCTATTAAACTCAGTATGACATTCTTTTGAAAATCATTAATATCCTTAGGATATTATTCTGCAGAGGAAGTCAACGTATTCTAAATTATGCCCTTACCATTCTGTTTGATCGATTTCAGACCAATGAATTCATGTTCTTTAGCTTTTGGAAATACTGGGTGGCCATCTCTGAAATCAAAAAGAAAAAGCTTTACATTCAGCTTTTGCCTAGGATACAAATGGATTTTACCCCCCGAATATGTTTAAGACAAGTGACATTTCAACCAACTATTCATAAGACATGGGTACTGTCAGAAGTAACCTAGTGGCATTGAATCAGGAGTGGGCTGCTGGGGGTTCTCAGGGGTTCGGGAGAGCCCCTAGCTAAGATTCTGTGCAGTTCAGAGAACCCCCAAATCCCACTCCTAGATGGCCCCACCCACCCTACCCCACTCCTCCCTGGAGTCCCCACGCAGCACGTTTTGAATGCAGGTATGTGCAGGGTGCGTACAGAGGCTCAGGGAGGGGAAAAACGGGCCTCTCGGAAGTTCAGGAAGGCCGAAAATGGGCCCGTTTCCGGCTTCCAGAGAGCCTCAGGAGCCCGGGAGGTCATCTTTGCCCTCCTGGAAGCTTGAGGAAAGCTTCCGGAGCCCGGGAAGGGCAAAAACACCTCACCCCGCTGTGGTGCAGGAGGCCAACTAGGCCATGCCTGCTATGACCATGCCAACCCAGCAATTGGGCAGAGAACCCTTTGCTAAAATTTTTGAAGCCCACCCCTGCATGGAATGCCTAACAGGGAACACAAGGAGTTAATGAAGGAAATAGGTCCATTAGAGAAGAGATTCAGGAACAGGGAACCACGAGAAAGAGATTCAGTATTACTTTGCCTTAAATACACATGGTATTAATTGTTTGGGACAATTACATTGGTAGGCTTTCAAGATTCAGCTTCATTGCCCTACTAGCAGTAAAAACCTTTTGAGAAATCCAAGTGATTGCTATTTTTTAACCTCGCCAGCCTTGTAAAGTTTCACCTGATAATTTCCAAGTCTCAAGGCTAAACCATCAGTGGCTTAATTTTTTTTTCAGGAGTAGCTCCGCATGTTTAGAACAACAGATCGAATTTTATCTAGTTCATACTTAAAATGCCATTAATTACTAGAAATATAATGTAAGCAGCATTGATTTCCATGGACAGACATTGATCACAAGTACAAGGACCCAAATAATTTTTTGATAGTGAGCAAATTGCATCTTGTCTTGGACGGAATGAATCGTGTTCTATTATTTAGTGTAATAAATAATCCCAGCAGAGTATGGATTAATTAATAATTAATGGCTAAGCAACTTTAGCTGATATACTTTGGCCACCAAATGAGAAAAGAGGACTCACTGCAAAAGACCCTGATGCTAGGGAATATTGAAGGCAAAAGAATAAGGGGATGGCAGAAGATAAGATAGTTAGATAATGTCATCAACGTAGTGAATATGACTCAAAGGTGATTTGTCAAAAGGCAGCAGGGCAATTATGAGGAAGACGTTTCACTTCTCATCCAAGAAGCTTCTTCGGTTCAGTCAGCTTCTTGGTTGAGAAACAAAATGTCTTCCTCAAGATATCTACAGACCCCTCACATCTTGAACATATACTGTTTCAATTACTTCTCTCAAAATGACGCTATAGGGCATTGCATGCCAAGATAACTAGACACAAGGACAGTTTCCCCCACCCACCCCGTGCCATTACTCTGCTAAACAAGTAATTCCCACAACACTGTCAACATACCTATAATAGGGCTGTATTACTATTATCCTTCTCATTTTTCCTATTATCTATTTCCTTATCTTTTTATGACTATAATTTTGTTGCTTGTATCTTACGATTTATATTGTTTTATTTAGTATCCCAGTATGATTCATGTTAATTGCTTATTTAGTATCCTGATTATCACTGAGTGTTGTATCTTATGATTTAGGATGAATGTATTTTTATATGATTATGATTTATCATAATCTACAGAGCACTGCACACCAGAACAACTAGACACAAAGACAGTTTTTTTCTGAATGCCATCACTCTGCTAAATAAATAATTCCCTCAACACTGTCCAACTATTTAAAAGTCTGTACTATTACTATTAATCTTCTCAACACTCCTTATCGGCCATCCCCTCCCACTTGTGACTGTGTGACTGTAACTTTGTCACTTGTATCCTTACGATTTATATTGACTGTTTCCTAGTATGATTTGATTGCTTAATGCTATGACTATTATTATGTGTTGTACCTTATGATTCTTGCCTCTTGATGAATGTATCTTTTCTTTTATGTACACTGAGAGCTTTTGCACCAAGACAAATTCCTTGTGGGTCCAATCACACTTGTCCAATAAAGAATTCAATTCAATTCAATTCTGTCACTTGTTGCTTGTGTGTACACTGAAAGCTTATGCACAGGAGACAAATTCCTTGTGTGTCCAAACACACTTGGCCAATAAAGAATTCTATTCTATTCTATTCTATTCTATTCTATTCTATTCTATTCTATTCTATTCTATTTCTATTTGATTTTTTCTATTCCTATTCCTATTTCTATCACTTGTTGCTTGTGTGTACACTGAAAGCTTATGCACAGGAGACAAATTCCTTGTGTGTTCAAACACATTTGGCCAATAAAGAATTCTATGCTGTTCTAGTTTGAAAAACACCTTTGAGTCACAACCATGATGTGGATGACTGAGAATCTCCAGAGACATTTAGCAGTGAACATGAGTTTGGCCAGTGGAGGATAGGAGGGCCTGGCGTGCTGTGCTCCATGGGGTCATGAGGAGTCAGACATGACTTAGCAAATGAACAACATGCAAACTTCGCTTAGTACAATCAGGCCATTGGTCACATCCTGGAATAAAGGTGAGACTGAATCAGACCAATTGCACAGGTAGGCATTCCAGGGAATACCTTGTTGCTTTCAGGATCACATTCGGAAGAGCTATTTCCAAGGCCCTCTTGGCTTCTTTCAAACTCAATCCCTGACTGCTGATCCCATTAATATAATGGATGATATCCAGAATACGAAGTGTTCCCTCCAGGGCTGCAGCAGATTTGGGGCTTATATCACTGATATATAACACTTGATAAAGACTATCATGACCACCAGCAAGGGAAATACCTGGAAGAAAGGGAGAAAAACACAGCTGCAAAGGTAGAACTTTAAAGGCAACAAAAGGGGAACCCCCAAAGATAGCATGATGAAATGTGGGGTTACCTAATTCTTCTTGAGAGCAGGTAAGGCTAATGTCAGGCAACAGATGGGGAAATATAGGGATCTTAGGTTGTTCCAGGACACGTCCAAGCACCAGCATGACCATCTTTGGAGCAGCTCGGAGAAAAGTGACTGCATCTGTGTGGCTCATATTAGTAACGTCTGTCTCATTAACCTGCAGAGGTGAATATCGGAGAAAGACAGAAAGAAAGAAAGAAAGAAAGAGAAAGAAAGAAAGAAAGAAAGAAAGAAAGAAAGAAAGAAAGAAAGAAAGAAAGAAAGAAAGAAAGAAAGAAAGAAAGAAAGAGACAGATGGAGAGAGGGAGAGACAGAGACAGAAAGAAACAGAGAGAGAGAGAGGGACAGAGAGAGAGAGAGACAGACAGAGAGGGAGAGACAGAGACAGAGAGAGAGAGAAAGAAGGGACAGAGAGAGAGAGAGACAGAGAGAGAGAGAGACAGACAGAGGGAGAGACAGAGACAGAGAGAGAGAGAAAGAAGGGACAGAGAGAGACAGAGAGACAGAGAGGGAGAGACAGAGACAGAGAGAAAGAAGGGACAGAGAGAGAGACAGATGGAGAAAGGGAGAGACAGAGAGAGAGAGAGAGAGAGAGAGTGAGAGAGAGAGAGAGAGAGAGAGGGACAGACAAAGAGGGAAAGATAAAGAAAGAGAGAGATGAAAAGATGTGGGGCTTATATCAATTTTAATTCAAAGAAGTCAATAGATATTTGTAAACTATAAAAATGATTGTTAACTGATGAAGAAGAAAGAAAACACAAATGAAGAATGAAGAAAAAATAACAATTGAAACCAAGAAGCGTTCACCAAATCATTCACAACATTAAAGATACTCATTGTGTCTTATAACACAAGGTTATACTCATATAGAGAACCAGTTTGGTGTAGAAGTTATGGCCCAGGCTAGAAGCTGGGAGATCCTGAGTTCTACTTCTGCCCGAGGCACAAAGCCAGCCTGGTGACCTTGGGCCAGACACTTTCCCCTAAGCCCCAGGAAGGAGGCAATGGCAAAACCACTTCTGAAAAACATTGCCAAAACAACCTGCGGGAACTTGTCTAGGCAGTCTCAGAGAATCGGGTATGATTGAATGGAAGGGGAAAACAAGTTAGGTTGATAGGATACTAGCTTAATAAACAATAATAATCACCACCAGTTAAAGCCATTGCAAAAAAACAATTCCAATAGTTCTCAAACAGATGCGTACTTAAGAAAAAGGCTATCAAACAACAATTTTGAGTTGGTGAGGTCCAGGTTATTTGCATAATCCATATTTGCATAACCTAAAGAGCTTAGGACCCCACCTATTGCCTCCAAATCAGAGGTGGGATTCAGCAGGTTCTGACCAGTTCTAGAGAACTAGTAGTGGAAATTTCGAGTAGTTCTGAGAACCGGCAAATACCACCTCTGACTGGCCCCGGCCCCATCTATTCTCTGCCTCCTGAGTCCCAGCTGATCGGCTGGGTCTTCTTTTGTTGTACTGCATAGGAGAATGGAGCCGGAAAGCAGGTTAGTGGAGTGGGGAGGGAATGAAGATTTTACAGTATCCTTTCCCTGCCATGCCTTCTAAGCCACGCCCACCCACAGAACCCCAGTAAAAAAATTTGAATCCCACCACTGCTACAAATCCTTTTCTCTTGTACAGTTTTTATATGTTTTAGAGGTGAAAATGTTCCTCACTTTGATTAGACGATCTCCAGGTCGCAAGCGCCCATCGCTTTTGGCAGGATCTTGTACCACATCATGGATGTAACAGCCGGTATTATCACTGCCTTTTGTCACGGTGAAGCCAAGGCTACCTTTCTCGGATTTTGTTAGAACTACATGGAGTTCCACTTCCTAAAGAGCAAGAGACTTTTATTATATACCAGACTGAAAAGCACAATGGTGCTTTATACATCTAGCATCTAATATGCATCACGCAGGAAAACATAAAAGAGGAGATAATACAGCTTAGTCAATACCTGCACAGGTGGTTTACATAAAATCTATATGTGGGTATAGGAAAAACAGCTTATGCCTAGGTATTTTCTTTCAGACTTTTTTTAAAAAATGGAAAAGATAAATAAGATGGAAAGTTCAGATCCAAAACTGTTTTTGCTGTTAGCTAAAAGCAGTTATGCAGGGAGATTCTAAATCTGATCAGAATATTAGAAAATGTTGATGCAGACAGAGTCAAAAACATCACTGATTTAAATCTTCCTTCCCAAAGTTTCGTTTAGCTGCATAGCTTTCTTCCTTCTATTTTTTCAATAAAGGTAATTTAACTTATTCAAAAAATGAACTACTTCTACTCGGTGGTGCAGTTGTTAGAATGAAGTACTACAGGCTATTTTTGCTGCCTGACGGCTGCCTGAAATTTGGCAGTTCAAATCTCACCAGGCTCAAGGTTGACTCCGCCTTCCACCCTTCCAAGGTGGGTAAAATGAGGACCCAGATTGTTGGGGGCAAGAGGCTGACTCTGTAAATGGCTTAGAGAGGGCTGTAAAGCACTGTGAAGCGATATACAAGTCTAAGTGCTGTTGCTATTGAATATCTATACAGAGATTCTCAGTCATCCAGTCCATTGTTGACCCAAAGGTGCTTTTTCAAAAAGCAACTGGACTTTGTATTTCCTTCAAGACATTTCACTTTTCATCCAAGAAGCTTCTTCACTTCTTCAGAACTCATAAAGCTTCTTGGATGAGAAGCGAAACGTCTTCAAAGAAAACACCTTTGAAAAAGCACCTCTGAGACTTCCATTTAGTAGTATGTTAATGGCAAGGAAAGAAATTCCTATTGTTGTCTTCCTCCAGTAAATAAAAATAAAACATAGGAAAATCAGTGATGGATGCCCTTTGTTGCATCTGGAAGATAGTCATGGGTCTTCTGTGTTGATTTTGACTTTCCACATCAATGTTAACTTCAAGGACCTACCATGTCCTTCAATTTACTTCTGAGAGACATTCTACAGAATTTGCTGCTTCAGCATCATCTCAGTCTATGGTGGTGTTATCCCCTCCAGGCATCTTTCAACCCACAAAGAACAAGTTTTTAAGATTAAAACTGAAGGCATGCTTCACTTGTATTGTCAAAATAATTCTGTTTTAAAGATTCTTGTGATACTTCTTGAAGATGTTCAGTCTTGATAGCTTAAGGTGAATTTTATAGGCCTGGTGTTATATCTACACCAGGAGGACTGATAAGCCAGCATAATAAATAGCAGTGATGCAGTAGACAATTATCTTTCTGGATGGGTATCTTGATCCTACAAGAAACATTTGTAGCTTAATTTATTACTTGTGAACTGACAGCCTTCATGAAACATAGCCATTTATTTTTAAGAAGAGACTTTATACCTTGCCATCTTTTCAAAAACTTCAGTCAGTGAACAGAATTTCTCTTTTGTGCAGCTTATCCACCCAACAATTGGATCAAATAATTTGGCATGAACTAAGGAATGATGCATAATTCAATATTATGCAATGAACTTCAAGTAGGAGGTGGGAATTTCAGCTGGGCTTCCCTTGTCCTAGTTTCCTACTTAAATCACGCTGGCTTTTAGCTTAGCTTTAACAGCACCTTCACATAATTCTGTCTCTCTGATGGAACATATTTTATTCGTTTCTGTTTTTTCTACCTTCTAATATTTACTATTATTGTTTTGTTTCTGATGTCCGATGCTTTTTCTTCTTTCTTTCCTTTTGTTTTTGTAGACATTTAAAGCCTTCCATCTTCCTACTGCACCATCAGCAACTTACTGCAAGGAGGGGAAAACCAGCACAAAGTGTACTTATTTGTAAGTATGCAAATCAGGATGTTGGGGTACTTTCCCAGGGACCAATTCATCAATGTGGTTGGAGACATCAAGTTTCAAATTTCTGCTTGAAAAAACAGATTCTCTTCAAATAAAAAAGTTCTACACCGACATTTTTAGGATTAAAGATGAATGAAACTTTATGTTTCCATCTTCATCAGTTTAGCTTTTGACTGTTCACTCCATTCCCATTTCTATTCATTCTACCAAGTTTCTCTTTGACTTTTGTCCTCCATATAAAAGAGTTAACATTCTTATTACAAGACTATAGAATTCTTTCCTCCCCTATTTCAAATTAACACTGACAAAAAGAGAGCTCGTAATCATAGTCAACTCATAGTCCACTCATAGTCAAACCAGGTTGGTCTTAGAAGCAAAGTAAGATTGGTATGGTTAACAACTGGATGGAGAACCATCTGGGAACTCCATGGCTATTGGCCAGACCAGCATTTCTCAATGTTGGCCACTTTAAGATATATGAACTTAAACTCCCAGAATTCCATAGTCAGCTTTTCAGCAGCAGTTAAGTAACCTGTATTTTGTTGAATTTGTGCAATTTACCCATACCCATACCCACAATCAATCAGGAAAAAAAGTAGGGAATTACTGGTTCATATTCATCTGCATGTTTTTCAACCTGATTGAAAAGAGGTGCCAGTCTGCCTTGTGGAGATGTGAAGTCAGAGGTAGAAGAGCTGAATTTTTCTTCTGTAAAATTAAGTGTGATAGTTCTTTGGTTTGATATTGGTGACAATTCCATTATCAGAGGGGAGGGAGGGTTGCTACAAGACAGAAAAGGGAGGAAAAAGATTATTTCCAAAGTCACTGACAGAGTTGATAAGAGTTGCCAGCTGAAGAGGTACGGGAATTTATTAATTGTATTAAATTAAATTTTCAGCTTTGAAATAAGGCTTTCAGGACACTTCATCCCAATTAACCCACCGTGATTATCTCTATATGGGAGAAAAAGGGCATAATTTTCCCCAGAGAAGTGTGGCGAAAGCAGTTTTCCATTCTATCTCTCATTATTTAGCCCAAAGACTTTTCTCTTAGTTCACTGCATTTGCATTATCAGAAATGAACTGGAAGAAAAGTGTATTAGACAATGGCTAGAAACATTTTGCTAACAACAAACATGCTTGTTGATGCAATAAATTCAATCAAAATTTACTATTTTGATAAATGGACAAAGAAGACACATAGAACCTGCCAGTTGCCTTCAGTAAGTCTAACATGGCTCAGAATCACACAAAAGGACAAATAAAACACAAGCAAGACCACATGCTGTGAAGTCAACCAATGAAACATGCCTGTTCTCCATTTCTTGCCTCCTAGATGACTCATGAGGAGAGCAAAACGCTGCATGGATCGCTTCCTTTTGCTTGCTGGGTGTCTCATAAGGACTAGGCGCTTGAGGTGCTGATTGGCTTGGGGTTTGATACAAAGCAGAATTCCACTTTGGGTTGGCTGGATTTGTGATGATTTCCTCCCCGCCGCTCCCACTGCTGTCGCTGTAGCTGTCTCTCCGAGAAGGGGACCTGATCTTCTTGCTTTGGTCAATGGTTTCATTTTCATCAGAACTATCTTCTGGCTCTCCATTAGGGGGAGGCAGGTTTTCTCTGCTCGCTTTGGGGAATATTTTTGGTGGGGAATGGATGGGGGTCTAGAATAAGCGTAAGAAAATAATTGTTTGACAAAATGGCAAATGCCCCCAAAAGGCATACTTATGACCCAGATTCAAAGTTATGATGTTCACCCACTCCCCCTGAGGTCAAGCGATCACATTTTGGGTGCTCGGCAACCAGCCTGCATTTACGGCCATTTATAATGTCCCATGGTCACGTGATCACAATTTATGACAATTTTTTTTTTTTTGCTGAAAACCAGGGTTTGCGGACAATGGGTTTGCTTACAACTGTGGATTCACTTAACAGCCATAGTGAATCGCTTAATGGCCACAGCAACTTTAAAAAATAAATAAATCAGGAAAGCCATATTGCTAGATTTCTTCTGGCAATAATTGCCTGTGCCTAGTAAGTGGGTACAGTCAGAATGTCAGCTATGGAATCATGATTCATCGTTGCCACATAGCTGTAGAAAGTGGGAGGGGGTTGCTGTTAATTGAGTAGCTTTTAGTAGACAAAATATAATTCTTTTGTTAGTTCAAGGTTAAAGAGTGTGGCGCAGAAAGAATTGGAACTTACTTTGGGATTGGTTCATGTGATGTGATGATGAATAAAAAGGGGATGGTTTGTAGGTTGGGACATTGTGGGAAGTCCAGGGAAACTTTTAGTTTCAGAATTCCACAGAATGTGCCAGGTGCTATTCTAATCAAAGTACTTCTGAGATTATGCTTGTCTTGGAGTTACTGACAGTTACTGATTTCCCCTGGAATGCTGACACAGAACTAAGCACAGGATGAATTTGAATATGGTGCAGAAACTGGTTTTCTGTTCCTTCCTGGAATTAATAATGTAATTCAGCCCCTCCACCCATCTTTTGGGCACCAGCTACCAGTTGTGTGGAGATTAGTTTTCCCATGGACTGGAGGGAGCGTAGTTTCGCATGCTGCCTGCATCCCATGGATGGGACTTGGCTTGTTTGTATGGCCCGGTTTCTGGCATGCCACGGACCGGTGCCTGTCCATGGACTGGGGTTTGGGGACCCCTGATATAAATGACTGGCATGAGTTGCAACTGTAATTCCAGGCTTAATTACAGTTATTAAGTCAAGGGCTGTTTGTAAAACTTAAGAGATCTCTTGTTAAAAAGTTATACAAAAGGTCTATAAAGGTGTGTACCAAAAGATAGATAGATAGATAGATAGATAGATAGATAGATAGATAGATAGATAGATAGATAGATAGAT